AAGGAAAATCATTGACATCATTAATGGTTTGAGCCTCTCGTGTCCCAGGCTCCATGCTGGGTGTGGGGACCTGACAATGACAACGTGGTGTGATGTGTGCTACAATATGGGAGTGAGGCAGAGCTTTGAGCTGCACCTAGAAGGGAAGAGAGGCTGTGAACAGGCAGAAAAGATGGTTGGGGGAGGGAGAACCTGCGAGGAAACAGCAGTGACAAGGCCTTGAAGTATCCCAGCTTGTCGAGGGCCTGGATCCAAGCATCAGAGAGAGTGTAGCCTGGGGTAGGACATGAAGCTGGGGAGGCCAACAGGGATCTGCTCAGAACCCCTTAAAGGCTAAGATCTGGATCTTCATGCTCAGCTGCAGAAGAGAGCCAGACTACCTCAGTATACATCCCACCTCCTCCATTCTGCCAGTTAGTGGTCTCAGGAAAGTTACTTAACCTTTCCGAATTGCAACTTTCTCATCTGTAAATGAAGAGAACAGGCCTCCCATAAACAGTGACACTTAGCACCTGGCTAGGGTAAGGTTGGTAAGGACGCAAAACACTAGGGGATACCAAAAAACCTCAGTATTAATGCAATACTCTAAAAATGTCAAAATTAATACCAAAAAAAGAAAAAAATTCCATGATTAACAAAATGTCCAAAATGTAAATAACGACTGATTCACCCAGCACAAAGCATACAGCTCAAAAAATGTCAACTATGGTTGGACTGGGAGTTCTTAACCTTCCAGAGCTGCGGGCTTCTGAAAACCCAAGGAAAACCCGCGGCCCTTCTCACCCAGAATGCTCAAATACGCACAATTTGTGAAGTTTTGGAGTGTCCCTGCGCTCCCTGGGGCTCCGTCCACGTGGAGGTTAAGAATTCTGGTTCAAGGTGGGGGTGGTTCCAAGCGCCAACCCGCCGCCTGTGGGTTCCGCAGAACCACCCTGGGCCTCCCTCCTGGCGGCTGTGGGTGCTCTGCCCCCTGCAGGAAGCAGGGCGCAGCTCTGCGGCTTCTTTTCCTTTCTTGCTTGCCCCCACCCCCCTTCAACTTGGGAACTTTTCCTAAAGTTTGCTGAAACCAGACACCTTGCTCCGCTGAGCCCGCGTGCAGCCACGGTTTAAAAGGCCGCCTTCAGCGCACCCTCCCCGCCCCCAGCGGAGACTTCAAAAGGCCCGGCGGGCGCCTCGGCCCCAGCACCTATGAGCGGTTCCCTGCGCCCAGAGCCCGCGACGGAGTCCGAGGACGCGCAGCGGCCGAAGTTCCAGCGCAGGCGGACCGGGCAGGCGGCGCAGCCCCGCGCGCCCATGCCCCTCCCGGTGCCGCTGCGCTCCGAGCGCCCGCGCCCAGTTTAGGGAAGGGGACCCCGCACCCCCGCCCCCGCGCCCGCGCCCGGGGCTGCGGGGACCCATGAACACAAATGCCGTTAGGCGCACGAGGAAGGACCGACCGTCCAGCCTCGCACCCAGGGACCCAGTAAGTGCCCCGGGGCTCCTCGAGTGCTGGGGATACCGATGTGTGTTTGTAAAAACGTGTGCATATAGGGAAGGGGCTACACATTCGCGTACGGTGGGCACTAGCGGAGAACTGTAAGTGGGGGTGTGCCCCTATATGTGCACTTGGGGGTGTGTGCATGGAGGTGTGCGCACGGGTGTGTACGCTAGAGGATTTGGCTAGGCTAGTGTGCGTTTGTGCGCGTGTAAGGACTAGTGTGCATGCATCGGTGTGTGTGGAGTCTGGTGTGCGCCCGAGTCCAGAGCCCCCAGGGTGTGTTTGTGTGAGCCTAAGAGGAGCGCGTGGCTGTGCTTGCATCTGAATGAGTGGGGGTAAGTGTGGATGTGCGTGTGTGCACCAGTGAACAAGTCGTGGAGGTGGAGGCAGAGGCAGAGGCCGAAGCAGATGGGGCTTCTGATGCCAGGGCTCCCATTGGGGTTGTGGGTGTGTGAATTTGCCCGGTGTTTGCCCCGGGGTCAAGGTGTGCAGTTCTGTGCTCAGCTGTGGGGTCTCTGGGAGCCCCTTGGATAGCCTGGGGGCCGGGCGTGTTAAGGTCCCATTTCTTACCGAATGGAGGGGAGGAGAGAAGGCTGATCATTTAACTAGCCCACCCACTGTGTGCCCAGGAGCCTGTTCTCCAAGGAGTTCTGAATCTGGGAGGAGAAGTGTGTGTGTGTATGTGTGTTTCTGGTGGTTGTTGTGGGAGTCTGGACACTGAGTCTTGGTCCCACATCTGTCCCTGGAACTCGGGGTTCCTTTCAGCAATATCTGTCCCGTTTCTCTGCCTATCCCCTCCTCCCAACTTGGGACCTCACAAGCCAGAAATCCTTAATCTGAATCTCTGAACTGTGATCGTCCCGCTGTGCAGCCCTGGCCAACTCATTCCTCTCTGCGAACCTCAGTTTCCCCATCTTTCAGGGGGTAGCGGGTGTCTCGCAGGGCCGTGGTGGGCCGGTCCATGGTGTGTCCCCGGCCGCGGCCGGCAGGGGGCAGCAGGGGGCAGCAGAGGGCAGCAGAGGGCGGCCCGGCGCGGGGAGGAGAGAAGGTGGAGAGCCGCCGCGGGCCGAGACTTTAAATCGCCTTCATTTCCCCCAAATCCTTCCTTTTCCTCTCCTCCCCCAGGCCGGCGGGGAGGCAGCTTCCACCGCCCTCCGCGCGCCCTCGCCCGGCCTTGCTCCGTCTCTGGGGACCACCAGCAGCCCGCCTCCAAAAGTTTGATCATCTCTCTCCCCTTCTCTCTGCTGCTTTTCGGTGGAAGCAGAAGAGG